CTGCTTCACGTCTCACTATAGGTCCTTCAGAAAGGTCCTTGACCAGTTGCTTGCTTGAATCGTTGCTCTCTGTCTTCCACATTAGCCACAACACATCTCTCCCAGAGTCCCTCCTGATTGCCCCGATCTGTGCTTTCACAAAAGGCCAGTACACTGTGCTTGCTGCCTCCGGCAGCTCTCTGCCCCCACCACATAACACAGCCAGCCACCACCACCACCACCTCTTGCCTCCCTAGCTGCCGCATGTCACTGCCTGACTTCCATCACTGTCATGTGCAGCTTGTGCTAACAGGGCAGGCTGTGAACCGTGGCAGCGGGATGCAGACACGTGTGAGCACGAAGCTGTCCCTCCTGCAGGGACAGTCACCTCCAGGCAGTCAGAAAGGTAGCTCCTTCCAGAGCACCAGCAAGATTCAGCAGAGCTGGGCTGTCAAAGTCATTAAGCCCTGGAGATCACAGCTGCTCCACATAGACACTGATGTCTCCCTAAACCACCCTAAAACCTCCAGGAGTGCAACTCACAGTGAAAACCACAGCATTTCTCCTGCTGGTCACAAATTCCCATTGCTTTGGCCACAGTGAGTTGACTGACAGACATCAAGCCAGCAGGCCATGCCCAACAGCACATTGCATGGGTCACTGCTCTCCGCTTCCATAGCTGCTCTGTCCACCCTCTCCAGCAGCCCCCAAAAAGGTTGAGATGTGATCTTCATGATACCTTGCTGGCCCTCCTTGGCATCCAACTGCAGGCAGGAGGCAGAGAGCCAAATGCCAGCAATAGTAGTCCATCCTAAGGGGAAGTTTGGGGTCTTCGTAGCCAAAGAGCAGATGATGAACCCCACACAGCCTGAAGCCCATGAGCAACTTCTGAAACTGCCACACTGGTACCACCCTCCTCCTATCTCAACTCCTGCCCCAGGGAGGAGAGCTGCAAAGGGGGAGCAGAGAGGAGTGCAGGAGCCAGGCAAGCTCACAGCAGCTTTGGAAATGAGTATTTGAGCGAGTTTGCCCATTTAACCCCCCCAAAATCAGGCTTGCATAGCCCAAGAGCAAGGCACAAGCCTAACTCCTGACAGTTCACACTACACAGTGCTTAACACCACCACAGTGCCAAGGACTGTACAAATAAACAAAAAAACAGTCCCTGGTTTAAAGCCTCCTTACACAGGTCCCTTTCAGGAGGACCTGGAATTGATGGATCCCAAATTTTCTTTCACCAGGCTGGCCAAAACCTTGTATCTGCTTGAGAGCACAACGCGATGTTACACAGTAGGAGAGCCAAGAGCAATACTTCTAATCCTGCATTAACAAACATGACTCACCCATTTATTTTCACTGGTATGTTCATGGTTATTTTAAGCTTTGTCTAAAGAATGCCAGCTACTGTATAATAACTGGAATGAAAGATGGCAGTGTTTTTATTTTGCTTTACAACTAAAGATTTATTTTTAGTTCCTTTAAAAAAGTGAAACTGGCCTGTAGATTATTTTAAACACCTTGGCACTGATTTCCTAAAGCAGATCCACATGAGCAAGTTCCACCTCCAGGCCAGAGTCACCACTAGGAAAAACTGGTGGCCCAGGTGCCACCAGCCCTGGATCAAGCTCTACACTTCCCCAGGAATCAGCCTGGCTGCCAGGACATCCCAGGCAAATCCCACCTCACAGATGAGGGTTTAAGAGATAAGACTTCGCTTTGCTCAGGTCCAAACATCCCTGCTGCATTTCCCCAGCACCTTCCCAGCACTTAAGCAGGGTAAGATTAATTCTTGGTGCACTGGATCCAGCCTTGCCCTGCTCCCCATCGTGCCGGTTTGCAACCTGGAGCACTCCCCACCCAGTGGCTGCCCTGCAGGGTTACACCATACGCTGGTTTTGGGCAGCCGTCTGCTCCGTGCAGTTCACCATCTGCTCCCACAGTGAGCGAGTGGGTGTTGTCTAGGTGCTACAGGCAGCAGGGAGGATGCAAGCCACGACTCCTTTCCTATAGACAATGAATGGAGGGGAGCATAAATACCCAGAGCCAAAGGTTGTCCTCTCTGCTGCAGAAGCAGGGGAAAAAAGAAAACAACGCTCAACACCCATCCCAGCCCTAGAGAAATTTGTTACTGAGTAGTTAGAGCCCAAGGCTCAATGAGCTTGTTAGGAAAAGGAGTGAAAAATCAGCACTCCCAGCTTCCACCTCCTTGTCAAGATTCAAAGATGCTCATTTGACCCAGGGTGCTGGGCTAAGGGCTGCCTGGGGCTCAGCTGCAGGAAAGAAACCTGCAAAGGACAAGCTCGACTGCTGGCTGCTTCTCCCTGCAGTGCCAGACACAGCACATCCCAAAACACCCTGGGTACCCTGACAGGAGCTGGGGAAGCAGGGGTCAGGCACTTGTTCACACGGGTGATGACTTTAGTTTTGCACATAACAAATTCCTCCTAGGGCTTCCTTGATGCTGGCAAACATGGAGCTCCCCAGGGCTGAGGCTGGTTGCTTTGACCTGGCCATAGCAGGGCTTTCCCTAGGCTAGATCTAAGCAAAGCGAAGAGCAGCTGCCCTGAGAGCTGCTGTGGGCGCTCAAGGCAATGGGTCTCCCCAGACAGTTCACCATGCATGTCTGGTGATAGTTGGAGGTTTGCATGCACCAGGGAGAACATGTATCTTCCCCCTCCATCACACCAGTTTCCAGGCCAGTACACTGGTGTAAATAACAATTCCTGTTTGGGAACTGCTGGAAACAGGAGCAGCAGCGTGTTTGGGACAAGAGGGGCTGAACTCTAGCCAGCTAAAGTGAGGGAATGGCTAGCTACACCACCACATCCAACCACACCTTCTCCAACCTCCCACAACCCTGATTAAGCATCCTCCTATAGCTTCATTTCTCCTTCCCACTTTTCCCATACTTGTATCTGGAATAAATCCCCTTTGCCCTCCCCAGGAGAGAGAGGGATGAGGATAGCTGTGAGACTGCTCATATGAAATGCACAACTGTTCATGCAGGGTGCTTGTGGCAGGGAGGCTTCTCTTGGTTTTGCTCTCTGCTCCATGTTTACACCAGCTCTCCTGGCAAATCCACAATACACTTCTGCCTCTGAGCAGACCACAGCATGCCTAAGAATTTTCCATCAGAAAGTCACCGTCAGGCTCCCAGAGCCACACATGCATTTCCACAGCAGTTTTCTGCCCTCTTGTGAAGCTCTGCAGAAATCCACAACTAGAGTTCTGCAAACCCACACTCCCACGCAAGCTTGTCTCCCATGCAGAGACATGAAGAGATGACGACCGTCCCCAACTTATATCGCTGAAGATTTCCTGCGTGTGAATGAAGGGCTTTAAGGCTCATCACCTCTCCCAGAAAGAGCATTGCTACCAGTTCCACAACAACCCAGGCTGGGCTCAAACCTATTTTATTCTGTAATCGGCAACTTTTTAAAGCTCTGAGCCAGAAGATTCCCCCTTGCACTGCTGGCCTTGGCTGAGACAAAGCTCTTGCTCCCTCCATCCAGCCTAGCCCAAGGCTTCCCCAGGATCCCATGAGATTAAAGGTGGATCAATCTATTGATTATAAAAAGCCTGAGTGTGTCTGCATGCTCTTCCTACCAACAGCTCCCCAGAAGCACCAGCCAGCATGTTGCAGGGTTCATCCCTCCTGTCCCCTTTTCATTACCATATTGCCTCCATGGGACACTGGGATTTGGTGGCTTGTCCCAGGGGATACAGCCGGGAAAGGGCAAGGATGCAGTAAGCAGCCTGGGGCTCAGCATGTTCCTGCCTGCTAGAGACTACAGTTATTTGTCCAGGAGCAGGAACCTTTGGCTCTAATCCACATTTGGTGCCAGGGTGGGCCATGGCAGCACAGCCCAAATTTCCACTTGAATCCCATAGCTCTCCTGTTGGCTGCACGTAGGGACAGAAGGGATGTGACTCACCCAGAAACCAAGGCAGAGCAGGGACAGAAGGGGAGGTCTGCTGCCTTGCTGTGCACATTGCCCTCCAAGCACGCCCCCTCCACCTGAAACCCTGCCACCCCACCATCTGATCAACAAGTCATTTTTTTGTTCAGAGGAAATGGTACATCCTGCACCAGCCCAGCCAGACGGGTCCCTCTCTAAGTCTGTAGCTGCAACCTGCCCTGTGCCTACAACCTGCAGTGCCCTCCTTTACAACAGCAAAACTGAGGCACAGAAAGTGTCATGGCTCACAAACACCTAGCCCCATCAGAGGCCAGAATATTCACCCACATGCCCTGGCTACAAAAGCCACCCTAGGTCAAGCTCTGCGCAGCAATCAGTATTCTCCTCCTTCCCAAAAGCGTCAATGACAGATGCCAAAGGCTCCCTGGGGTCCATTTCATCTTCCCAAGGCATTTAATGCTCTCATGTAGATTGTTACTGGTCCCATCAATTACTTGACTTTGGCATGATGACGCAAAACAAAATACACACTGCACGGCCCACTGGCTTTTAAATGCCACAGATGTAAGGAGAACAAACTCCATTTGGTCTCCTCCAGCCATTTGTCACAGCCATCACAGGACGATTCCTTAAAATGTAGGGGTTTATTCTAAATTGTGTGATTGCATCCGACGGCACAACACCACCACACCAAGCCTTTTCCCTTCCAAGAGCCGCTTTTTATCACTTGGGCTCTGAACCACACAGGTGCTGCCAGGGAGCTACTTGTATCAATGCCAAATCCATCCCAAAAGCTGACAATCAGCAGGATCCAGTGTGTCCAGAGCCACGCACCAGATGGCATGGCCACCCCACTCCGCTCCCAGACAAACACTCAGCGACTCGCAGCCCAACCCGCTCTGACAAGTAAGGTCAAACCATCTGTTTGCAGAGAGCTCAGTGCCATATTTAAGTACAAAGCACTTAAAGACTGGAAAGCTGATCTTAAGACTTTTCCATTATACAATTGCTTTAGTCTTGCTTCTACCTAGTCTCTATGAGCTTGCAGTCACTTTGGATACTAAAGCCAAATAGCCAGAATCAAACTAGGAAATCACCTACCACCTACAAGGAACAGCAGGGCCGTCATCCTTCTCAAACCGATGCTCCCTCAGTGAAGTGTCGTGCCATAAGCCAGAGCCAGACCTGACTGCATGCTCAGAACAGGGGAAAAAAAAAAACCCTCAGTTATTTTTTACTATTTAAGTTTCTGAAGCCCTTATTGCTAAAATATTTTGAATTCTCCCTACAGTTTCCATCCCTTCCCAGTGCAAAGCAGCTGGTGCCTTTCATCGCAAGCAGCTGCATTTCATGAGACTGTAACAACTGCCAAGTGTTCGGGGGAGCCCCGAGACACATGGGTCCATCTACTCAGGCTCATTAATTCCTCCTGCAAACCTTTTTTTGACAAAACCCAGCACTCATACACACCTAAAGCATACCTTGAGAGTCCCCTGGTTTGAACTCCTGGCTCACACAGCTTTGAACTGGAGATGCTGGACTACATGGCCTTCTTCTGAGCTCCCTCAAGCTGAGTTTTTAGGCCATTATTTCTCACTCTAAAGAGGAAAAACCTTAAGCTGGTTTAGGCCCATTAGTGTGTTTGCTCATTTGCCTTCAAGTAAAGCTGTGTAATACACAGACAGTAGCAACAAACAGAGGAACCATAGAATGTTTTGGGTTGGAAGGGACCCCTAGAGGTCACCCAGCCCAACCCCCCTGCAGGAGCAGGGACATCTTGAACCACATCAGGTTGCTCACAGCCCTGTCCAACCTGGCCTGGAATGTTCCCAGGGATGGGGCCTCCACCCCCTCTCTGGGCAAGCCCTGCCAGGGTTTCACCACTCACCTCAGGGGAGGTTTCCTTCACCCCCAGGCCCTGCAGACCCCTTGGGGCCCTCCAAGACATGCTCAACACCCCTGGCCTACAGTCTGCACCTGCTGCGGTGTACTTCAGACCATAACCTCAGACCCCCTACAACATACACAAACAAAGAGTAAGATCTAACGCATAAAAACAGGACATAAAAAAAAGAGAGGGGGCACGGCCCAGCCCCACCAGAAGAAGGCCCAAACCCACCACATCTCACCGCCACACTGAGGCGCGGGTGCCCCCGCCCGGCCTTTTATACCCGCACGAGAGGGGCGGGGCCTCCTGCCCTCACTCTTGCCCTTATCCAACATGGCGGCCCTGCAAACACCAGCCTTGCGCATGCGCATGCCGGGAGACTTCAAAAATGCGAGGGAAGGGGGTAGTCAGGCGCTTTTTTTTTTTTTTTTTTGCGCGCTACGAATGGGTCTTTTCGGCGTTGTATTTAATTCTCCCTCTGTGCTGGAAGGGGGTGGGAAAGGGAAAAGGAGGGAAGAGTAGCGGGGTGAGGGTTGCGGCCCCCCCCCCCCCCCCAGCCGCTCCCCGCGGGGCTGCCCGGCTCTTCCTGGGGCCGCTGGGGAGCGGCTGGGCCTCCCGCCGGGCCCGCCTCTGTTAGCGGTGCTGAGGCGGGGCCTTCACCCCGCCGGCGGGCTGTGCCGCTGAGCTGCGCCCCGGGGCCCCCTCAGCCGCCTCGGCCCTTCTGGGGGCTTTGAGCCCTCCGGCAGCCCCGGCCTGGCGGCTCTGAGGCGCCCGCAGGGGCCAGGCCCTGCCTAGGCCGTGTCTGAGGCGCCCGCAGGGGCCAGGCCCTGCCTAGGCCGTGTCTGAGGCGGCCAGTGTCAGAGCAAAAGGCTGGGTCTTGTCACTAACGCCCACCGTGTGTTGGTGCCCCCAAATCATGGAGCGGTTTGGGTCTCCTGATTTTTTTTGGCTTCTTAAATGGTTGCTGTTGTGGGTAGAAAATGCTGGATGACCCAGTACAGCTAAAGAGTGTTTTCTGCAAGTTGTGGGTTTTCTCTTTAGAGCTTGAGATACCCCTTTTTGTTAAACACCCCGTCAGATGTTCAGAGCCTGCCTCAGGGCCTGTAGGTTTCTGTATTTTTGTGCTGATGAGGGTCTTTAAGCTTTGAAGTGGCAAAGTCTGCCTTTTCCTCGGCCTCTTCTCTTTCCAGAATGTGCCATGCGGCTGTGGACTTGCTGTCCTGGTGGCAAGAGCAACCCTAGAGCCAAGAGCGCTTGAAAAGCTCCTTAGCGGTGCGGCCGTAAGTGCAGGTGATGAACAACACTTTGGAAAGGTTGAGCGTGACTGGCTGCCTTGTGATGGGGAAGTGGCTCTTCCCAGGTCTTCCCCCCCCCACCTAAAAAGAGGGGTTGATGTCACTTTGCTCTGATACCGTGTAACATCTACTGCTAAGGTAGCTTACTGGTGTAACAGGGGATCTTACTGGGCTGGTAAGGCTAAAGAATCTCTGCTGGCCTGTGTGCAGTAGTGCCTGCCCTAACTTCCTCAGGCTGGAGATGATACGCTTCAAACGTGTCCTTGTCCTCAAAGCCCCATGTGTGCAGCTATCGGCAGGAAAGGCTCCACAGCAGAGAGACTCAGCCTTGCTGCAGCCAGTCCATTTGCCTGCGAGCACCGTCTGCTACAGCCTTTGCCTGCAGTCATAGGACACCTGTGAAGTCAGTGGTTTTGATCACGGTCAGGACAGTTCATCTGGCTGCTGTAGACAGTGACATCATGTCATGTGCCTGGGTGAGATACTCGTCACATGAGCAGGGGAAGGGTTTCTCTAAGTAATGGTAAACATAGTATAGGCCGGAGGTTTGTATGCCACATTCCTGTTATAAAAAAAGAAAAAGTATGTTTGAGCACATTCTGGGAGGTGCCAAAGTCGCAGAAATAGGTAAGAAAATTTATAAGGTGAGGTCTAGGATGGATCATTAATCCTTTTTTTTTCTTTCCTATCTATAATTAAAATTGTCTGTGAAATCAGTGGCAAAAACGTTGATCATGTTGTCAGCTCTGTTAAAATCAGTGTTTTGGGAGAAGGGAAGGCAGATGGGAGCATGGTCTCTGGGACCAGTGTCAGCCTTTTCTGGTGAGGAGGCAGGGAGTGATTTGTTTCCAGGTCAGTGCTGTGTGCTGATAGAACACTTTAGCTGGCCAAGAGGTAGGCATGATGTGTGAGGTGAGCACAGTTGCCAAGCTGGGAGAAACAGCATTTCCCCTGGCCTGGGCAAGTTCAGACCACTGCCAGAGCCACACCGTTGTTCGTGCTCCTGTTTCAGTGCACTAAGCTGGGGAGGTGCCAAGGAAACTCCTTGATTAATCACTTTAATACATAAAATAATGTTTAAAACAAATTAAAAAAAAATGTTCAGCTTCCATGAAAGTGAAAAAGAGACATAAACCGATTTTTGCCAAAATTAGATTATTACATAAGATTTCAACCCAAAATAAAACTGTTATCATGAATTTTTACAGTGATTCCTTTTTCCTCCTCAATCCTTTACTTTCTTCTCCTGCTGTAGCTGTAGGCCATGCCCAGTTTCCCTGTTTTGGGCCCTGCGGCATCACAGGTTGCTTCCGATTATTCAGAGGAGCAGCAGGGCAATGAGGCTTATTGTATGTGGGGAAGCAGGACGAAGGCTATGGGTGAGGCTGATGAATCCTTTGGTGTTGGGATGGTCTTGCTAATGTAAATGTGAAGTGAAAACCAGAACTTGCGCCTTTTTGTTCCAGGATGCGTGACAGAGCCTAGGCTAATCCCTGCTGACCCTGAGGAGACTCCAAACAGAAAGGAGACTCCAACAGCAAGGGGCGAAAGGAGACTCCAACAGCAAGGGGCTGTCTGCCCGTTCTGGAAATATCACAGGAACTTTGCTTTTCTGGTAAGCCATGAGCCCTCTCCAGCTCAACATCTTGCAGTCAGTAACTTTTTTTCAAGTGCCTTTTGCATCCGTAGCTTTACGGTTCAAAATTCTTCCTGATCCTGCACAGGGTTTGTCCCTGCTGGGGATCTTCCAACTGTCATGGGGCTTTTAGATTAGTGTTGGGCACTGCTACAAGTATAGCTGGATTAGGAAATTTTGGGACGTGACTCAGCGCACAGCTTGGATGAGTTCAGCCCCTCCTGACCTCTGCCTCTTGACCTGAACATCCTGCCTAGCTAAAAGCTTCCTCGTCCAGGGTGATGCATTCAGAGTAGCCAGACACTGCTGTGCCACTGTCGTGGCACTTTGGGATGTGATTTAGTAGGCATGGTGGTGCTGGGTTGACGATTGGACTTGATGACCTTGGAGATCTTTTCCAACCTTAATGATTCTGTGTTTCTAAAGGGAATGAATTTTTTATACATGGCTGAATGAAAAAACATTCAGGACGTGGCTTTTCCTTTCTTCTCAGTCACAAGAGATGATATTTCTGGATATCCAGTGGTCTGCGTGCGAAGCAACGTACCTACAGCTCACAGCTAGTTAAATCCTGGCAAGGCACAGCTCATCCGCTGCACGTTTAATGTATTTGTTGAGGTATGTGTTAGTGCTTGAAGTCTGACAAACTGCACATCTGATTCAAAGCGGTGAGGTGATTCATTGTCCCACAGAAATTAATTCCTCAAAGGCTTTCTCTTGAAATGACTTGCACATCAGAAACTGTATGTGGGTTAGGAGCACCACTGGATTCCCAGAACACTGTGGCCCTGAGATCACAGTTTTGTCATTGCAGAAGATCTGTGAAAGAAAAGTTTTGGTCTGGCATCAGCTCAACACTAAAATATGCCACTTTGGGGAGTCAAGATAACCTCTTGGCATCTCTCAGCCTGTGCTGTGTCCTGACTAGACTGCAGGGTTGGCTTCTTGTTTGTTTTAATGCCACAGGAGGAAAATCCAATTTTGGTATTGCCCTGTATTGTCAGTCACTTTGTGAATGCACGTGGATTCCTTTGTTTCATTTGGCTACCTCGAAGTGGTGCTTCAAACTGGCCCTTCCTGGATGGCCAGTTTGCTCAAGGCCAAGCTTGGCTTTGTCCAAAGCTGGGACGAAGAACTGAGACAAACAAGCAGGGTCCCTCTGCTAGGAGCTGTTTCTGACCTGGGGACGTGACACATGCCAAAAAGCATGAGGAACTGCGGCTGGATTAACACTGTGCTGACGATGCTCAGACAACAAGACTTCAGCCTGGTAAAACAACAGACATAAAACCCAGAGCATCATGCAAGGGTGCACACAATCTGTGTCCGATCCTGGTGCAAGGCACAGAAGGGCCAAGAAATAACTTCTGCATTTCCAGTAGGATTTCTCAATTACTGTTTATGCCACCTGGGTCTCTCCTTTTCAGATCACCTGGATTTCTTCTACATTACAAGCCCCATAGGTGAGGTCTGGATACCTCTCACTCTGACACAAAGCCTAACCAGGGCTGTGTGAACAGGTTTGCAATTTTTTTTTTCACTCCTTGCTCCATTGGAAAGACACCATGGACAGTCCAAGGGTTTGAAAGACAGGGAGAGATGGCAGTACCTGCTAGCCATGGAGTAAGCAGGTGGAGACTTGGCTTCTCTTTACTTTTCCACTATAAACACTATTTACTACTTGGTGCTGCAAGATTATGCAAGAAGTTAAAACAAATGGACTTAGAAACCATCTCAGTAATGCAAAGTGATTGAGAAAAAAAACATAGCCTGTGTGGCCTGACCTGTGGTTTTGGTTTGCGATTTGAGTAATACAGTTGTCCAGCTGTGTTTGGAAAGCAGTGCAATAATGTGTTGCATTTCTAGCTCCCTGCATGTGCTGCTGGCTTAGAGGAGGAGGGCTTGAACCCAAGGCTTGAAGCAGTGGGAATGTTGTTGCTTCTACAAGGCTGGCTCAATTTTCTTGCCCTTGTCCTGGAGTTGGGCATCAAAATTGTCCTTAATCTCAAGAGCCTCCTTTGCATGGCTCACCAGTGGCTTTCAAACACCACAGCCCTCTTGCACCCCATAAACAGCACAGCAGCTTCTGGAATTGACTCTTCTTGTTGCAGTTAATTCTTAGGGGTTCCTTGCACTAAAGGGTAGATGGAAAATTATTTCCAGTGCATTTGTGCTCTTGACTAGGCATGGAATATATTTACACCTCTCTTCTTTGAGTCTTCAGTTTTTCTTTGCTCTTTTTCCTTTGCAATTCAGCAGTGGGATCTGCAATGCTCATGCAAGGGCTCTGCAAGGAGCTTAGTGGCTTGGCTCCTGGGTGGAGCCGAGTGGTGACATCTGGAATTACAGCTGGATTAACACTGTGCCAGTGGTGCTCGGAGAACAAGAGTTTGGGGTCTAGGGGAGACCACTGCCCTGTTAGCACCGTCCAGCAAAGCTGCTACGTGATCATCAGGGTTGCTTTGCAGCCCACTTGCATAGATCTGGGCTGCATCCAGCCGCAAAACTCACCCAGCACTGCCTCAACATGCAGCAAGAGGGAGAGAAACATCTCCTGGGTGGTTTTGGAAGCCTTTTTACCTGAAGACATCAGGTGGATTTCCATATATGTCAGAGAAATATGTCCAAATTCTTACTGTTTGTGTTGGACACCTGTTTCTGCTCTTGCCCAGCTTTCAGTGCTGGTTTTCCCCACAGCAGTTTCCCAATGTCTTGCCTAGCTGCAAGGCTAAGAAGGCTTTGCCTTTCTGCCTGGGTAATCAATAGATCACTCTGTCAGACTTTTTTCCCTCCTCTTTACTTCTTTATTGACCTGTTGCTCTACTGAAACCTCAGCCATTTAGGAGGCAGATTAAGCCATGAGTTGTTACCTAGACTCTGTGTTTTTACCCTTTTGTATGTAAACTCAAACCCTGAAATTGTGAAATTAGGACAATGACTTGGGTTCTGATTTCTTTAATAATCCAATCACCTCCTCCAACTCCTCTGCTCCCTGGGCTGGGGTTTGGTAACCTGTTACAAATGGGACAAGACAGTTTTGAGCAACATCTCGCAAGGCTCTTGTATACCAACGAATATTTGCTGATTCCTACCTCCCAAGAGGCTGGAAACAGGCTGGGACCCTGGGTACCGTTAAAGCAGTCCACCAGTTTGGGGAAGCAGCTTTTCTCTCTCTGGAGGGCTCACTTCTGAGGCCCTGCTGACTGTCCCCGGGCTGCATCCCCCACACATTGGTGTGACGTTGCCCTCCGCACTGCCCAGGGCTTCAGCAGCTAAATGCACACCTTAAAGACATTTTGCAATGTAGTCAACTTAATTTAATGAGTGGCCATAGGTGTTAAGACACCACGTCATCCACTTCTACCCAGTGCTGTTGTTTCACTGGATATCTGGCTTAGAGACCTACGTCAAACAGATATATAAGGCATCAAGAGTGTGGTCAGAAAGAGAAGCAGGTTGGGAACAGCCACAGCAGTATTGGCTGGCTATTGAAAAAACCTCCGAACCTGTCCTGCTTTCTTATGGCTTGAGTGCTTGGTGTTAGCAGAGGTGATGAAGGTGAGCAGAAATGAGGGAAGACCTTTCTCTATACTGTTTAAAGGCTGCAGTTTCTTGATAGTATATGAAGCTGGAGTGTTAGCTGCTTTTCAGAAATTGTCGCCTGACATACTGAAATCTGCATCCAGGATCTATGGGGCATCTTCAGGATCGATTATAGCTACACTTGGACTGTGTGAGTGTGATGCAGGTAAGGGCTATGCACTTCCATTTACTCTGTCTGAAGAGATTGAATATCTGAGATATTTTGGAGTTGCAAGAGATCTTTTTTTTAGTCATTCCTAATCAGTGGTTAATTCCTCAGGATTTTATGTCATTGACTTCTTTAAGAGTGGAAAACATGAGTAAATTAACCAGCACAGAGAAAACAGACTTGATATAGTTATTAAATAAGCCATCGCATCTTATTAATTTGAATTAATGGTAAGCATATCTAATATAAGAAACAGAAGCGCCCTGCCTAATAAGGCATTTGGGGTGGTTGGTAGGTTCCCAAAACACAGAGGGGAAAGAAAATATTTAATATGGAGAGGATCAGTGTTGCTGTTGCATGAAATAAAGTTATAGCCACAGAGAAATAAATTAGGGGGCATAGATGCAGAGCCAACAGGAGGAAATGTTACACAAAGGCTTCCTGTCAATTTTCTCCCATATCTCCAGAAATTTTTAAGATGTCCTGCAGAGGAAATGGAGATAAATGGGAAAAGAAAACAAGATAGTTCTGCTTCCTGCAATAGTGAAGGTCCTTGGAAAATCTGGGTCCACTCATGAGAGCTTCAGCCTGATGAAAATAATGGCTCTTTATGAGCATTTACCAGCATGGTAAAATGCCCCTTTACCAGGTGGAAGTGCAGCCCAGAAAGTACATAAATAATAATATAAGGGATGTGGAATGTCTGCTTTGCTTTGCTTTAGATGCGTGGAAGCTGTTCTTCCTCAGTGCTGTGGAATCCTCTCTCTGTGGGCGTTTCCTTGGAAGAAAAGCCTTTAAAATGTTAAAGGATATGTTAAACAAAGACCTGCCTACGAACGCCCACCAGCTGGTATCTGGCAAGCTGCATGTCATCCTCACCCGTGTGCACGACTGGAGAAGCGTGATGGTTTCGGAGTTTGCCTCGCGGGAGGACCTCATTCAGGTGAGAGCAGCCGCCCTGCGAGGAGAGGAGCTGCATGAGATTTACTGCCTGTCCATGCCCCGCAGCATCCAAGGGGGAAGCCTGGGGCCTTGCAGCAGTCCATTCTGTCCCTGCCACCCTCTGAAGCCAGACAGGGCCACAAGCTGAAAATAATAACAAAAAAAAAGCCCTTTTGATTGCTGGCTGAATTATCTACAGAGCCTGAGTATGCAGGGAGCAAAATGAGGCACTTCACAGGTTTTCTTCCTGCTTCTCCAACCCTGGCTATGGATATCGGACATGGTCTAGTCCACAATAGTCAGTAGTGCCCAGTAATGCAGCCATGGGTCCCCATTTTGGCATTCACAGATGAGCCGCCATTCCCGAAGGCAACAGGTTTTTGTGTCTCTTTGCTCACCTCCGTGCTCTCCGTCTCACCTACAGGCCCTGATATGCAGCTGCTTCGTCCCTCTGTGTTTTGGATTTTTACCTCCTAGATACCATGGGGTGGTGAGTAGCCTTGTGGCCTGGAGACCCTCTCCTGCATCAGGCCAAGGGCCCATCTAGCCTATGTCCTTTCTCCAGTGGTGGTGTTAAGAATGTTTATACCCACGTTTGCCACCGAAGTTGCTCAATGCTGTGTTCACACAGCATCTGCAGGGGGGACAACAGAACCCAGGTGCCCCACAATCTGATCTCACTACAGACAGAACAGACGTTCTCGCAAAAGTGTCAGTCCTGACCCTATCCATGGGGTTAGCTCAACTCCTTTCTGCTGCACTTTCCCCCAGTTTCATTAGAGAGTAATTTTTTGTCTGTGAGGGAGGAGGTGGTGGAGGGAGGAGGTGGTGGGTGTAGACCTTGAGCACACGGGACAGTGGTCAGGGCTGTTCCCTGGGAGGGGATCTCTGTAGCCTCAGTACCACAGTCTAGTTTGGGCCTGGGAAGGCAAGAAACCCCAAATGCATGCACATGTGATGCAGCACTCTTCTCTCTGAAAAGAAGGCGGCTCAGGGTTTCTTTTTTTCTCTCCTAGCGTTACATTGATGGGGAATTCAGCATGTGGCAGGCTAACTTTGTGTCCCGGGCCACGATCACCGTGTCTGCTTTCACCGGCGAATACGACATCTGTCCCAAAGATGGCCCAGCTGCCTTCTTTGCTCTCCAGCTCTCTGACTGTATTTTACATATATCAAAAAGAAATGTCTGCCGCTTGCATTACGTTCTTCGGCTTCCCACATGTCAAGTGAGCTGCTTCTACAGGTACGCAGGCCATGAGGCCCCTATAGCTGGCCCATCTGCCCTGACTGCCACCTCTCTCCTGCAGGTTCTGGAGCAGTTTTATACCCATGGCTACCAGGATGCAGCTTCCTTCTTAAAAAGACTGAGTAAGTGATTGGGAGTGAGGAGCAGGTAGGTCTGGTGCTTCTCTTACAATGTTGACTTGCTGACAGAAGGTAGGAGATGTTGCCAGTGCATCTAGTGTGACTGGCCCTGCATCCCTGGCATCACCAGGATTACTTGAGTCCCATCCTCTCTGTGGTCTCTCCTGAAGCTCCCTGTTCACCCCTTCCCCTCTGGTGATGTTAGGTCCCCTCTTCCCTGCCACGCTGGGCACGGTAGAGCTTTCCAGGGAATGCAAGTCCCCAGGACCTAGACAGGAGAAATGTAGGCTCAGGTGCCCTGTGTGGTGTTAGGCTGATAACCCACTGATGCACCAAGCAGCAATGTTGGTGATCCCTGGGCCAGAAACCCAACCCAGATTAGCCATGCACTGTGGTCATCAGTCCCCCTATTTTCCAGTCAGCCCTGGTCATGCCTCACATTCCTGGAGACCTGGTAGTTGAGCAACAAGTAGTGAGAGCTGGATTCCTCTTCCCACCAGGTGAATTTGGTATAAATTACCTTGATGAGGACTTTATGCTTTCATTGGCCAATGAATCATGTCAGAAAGGTGAAGGGACTCTGCACCAGAAGCCAGAAACAAGAGTACTTCGCTCCAGAATCACAGAACCTGAGGATGTCACCGAAGAGAAGCCAGGAACCATCCAGGCAGCAGATGAAGTGGAAGAGGAAGCCCCACGCCACCTTCTCCACCATCAGAAAGGTAGAGAACCAGCACTTCCTTTACCCCATCAGTTTTCATTAGCTAAGTGACCCTTGCCCAGGGCTTTCACTGCCAAAAGAGGTTGTCTGGAGTATTGCAGGCTCCAGTATGGGAGAGTGTCCACTCTTGGGTCAATGGTTGTTAGTGAAGCCTCATGCTGAACTTGTTTTGGGAGAGGTTTGAGGACTTAGGCTGGGGCCAGGTCAGAAGGGCTCTTTGGAGAAGTAGCTCTTTCTGTGAAGGCCATTCACTCACCTTGCAAGGTAATAACAGATTCTCCCCACACATCGTTTCATTAAGAGTGAGGGAAGGAGCAGCGTCTCAGCGGTTAGAGCTGGGTTTGCTGTGCCAGGCAAATCGAAATTTCTACTTAGTTACTCTGGTGTGCAGCTGTGTCTAAATACTTAAGCACCAGAAAAGCTTGTTAGAGCTGCAGGTAAACCTCTACCTGTATCATTTTTAAGCAACACAAGGCAGGTTTAAATCCAAAACTTCTAGTTTTCTGCAATCCTTTGCAAAATAATGCCCTCTCCCATTGCAGTTTTGACATGGAAAACTGGTGAACCCTCAGTATTTCGGATTCCAGTTTGTCTTGTTACTAGCGGAATACAAGGAAGTATGTGCTGGAGTGCGACATTTCTTTCAATTTTATTATTTATTTACTTTCTGAGTCTTTCAGCATTTCAGAACTTGTCAGCTTAGGAAAAATTACACTGCTTTTCCAATATCGTGATGGTTTAAAATGTTGCCACATAAAGAAATAGTGAAAAAAGATCCAACTATTATACTGCTGTAAGTACAAGGACCACACTAAATAAGGAAATAGAAAGGGCAACGAAGGGGCTATTACCATTCCAGATCTAAAAATAAAAGCTGAAAAACATAAAATAAAGGTAAAGACATTTCCGCTGAAAACAAAACAACTCTGCCTATGGGAAGAGACCGGCTATAGAGATGCAGGACACGGTGTTAGGCTGTACAGTTTGCTTCCATGCATGCTTTTTTAAAGGCTTGATCAGTTCAAACTACATGGACCTTTTGAAAGCAACGTAGTAGGAACCAGGTTTCTTTGGAGGTTGGGCAGGCTCCGGGCTATGAGGAGTCTTTTGGCCTCTGGTTTGCAGCTGGGCTGCAACATTTTGTACCAACCTAAGGTCATCTGTGGAAGGAATCAAGACTCATTTGTTAGGCCAGAGAGTGACCAAGGGGCAAGTGAGGGCTTTCAGACTCCAGGCAAGAAGCACATTGGATTTTTTTTAGGTCTGGGAAGGAAAATCCCTGATGATCTAGACCAGGAAAAGGCTATTTTACTGTTTATCTGCACAATACTACAGTATGATTAATAATACCAAATAAATCTGTGAACAACTTGCACCTGTTTTCCTGAACAAGTCAGAATATCTCCAGAGGACTACTGCTGGGGTAGAGCCTGCACCCCCACAAGGCTCAGGCTGGATTTGCAAGTTAACCACAAGCATTTGAATTTTTATCCATGTGCCCACCAGGACAGTTGCACAACGAGCTGCACCTTCCTCAGCATCTAGACTAGAAGCAATCTGACATAAAGCACCTGCAGCCAACAGACAGGATCGGACCCATTGTTTTTCATTTGGCTCAGCTGCATGGATCAGGCCCCAGGACTCCCCTTCCTGCTAGACCTGCAATGGGATCTAGCTTTAGAGAAAGCTCCAGCTGGCTTGGGTTGTCTCCAGACTCTCATCCCATCCACCTCAGGCTTAACATCTCTCAGTTTGATGCAGACCAGGGCAAGCGACAGGACAGTGGTATGGGGGCAATATTTTAAGGATATCAAAACCTGCTCATCCCATTACCCTGCAGACAACAAGGGGGAGGGAAGCAGCCCTGATCAGGGGGTTGAATCTGGTTTCTCTCACAAGAACTGCCACAAGTGCCTGTCAGATTGACCAATGCGGTTTTACTCCCTTTAGGGCCATGCCAGCCATAGAAGAGCATTTTTGACCCCACTGCTGCCTTTGGCCCCACTTCATGTTTCGAAGAGAGAAAGAGCAACTTGCAACCCAGCCTGCAGACAGACACCAAGCTGTATTGAAGAGCACACCATGGCAGCAACATCACCAGCACAGGCAGAGCCACAACCCCCCTCCTATTCCCCCAGACCCCAGGTGATCTGCATGACCCACCTTGATTCCCATGACCCACCTTTAAAGGAGGCATTTCAGGCTGAAGGCAGGATCTATCGCAGCTGGTTTGAATTGCGTGCAGCTGGGTTTCCCAGCTTGCTTCCCTAGGGGGGAAACAAGGTCCTCGAGAGCCAAGAGGTGTCAAACTTTGCCTCTATCCATTGGCTCTGGCAGAGCCTCCTTTTGCCATTAACTCCAAGCTTATGCAGTGTCAGCATCAGATGTGCTTGCTTGAAAAGGTGAGGGATTAATAAAGCAAAAGACAGCTAATTCGAATGATGAGTCATTAATTACTTAGCACATCTCTGCATGTTTGGAGCAGGAGGGCTCTGGGCTGTGACCATTTTGCAGGGGGCAGGGGGGAATGTTCCTTGTAGGCTACTTTTTGTCAAAGTTCTCAAAGTTTCCCTGATTTTTTTTTTTTTTTTATGATCAAGCACCATGCCACGTAAGGGCAGGTGGGATGCACCGAGTAGTTCAAAATATGCTCCTGTTTGTGTCTGACACTTGCAGACAAATCTAGGGGATTTGGATGTCCAATTCCTATATGAGAATTTTCTTGGGGGGATTTTAATTCCCACTTGAATAGGGATAGTGTAACTGCCTGAGGTTATATCCTGCCTGGAGATGGTCGGGCTTGCTGGGGAGACCAGGAGCCTGGTTGAAGGGCTGTTGCAGAAGTGGGACTGTCTGCCTGGGAGGGTGGCACAAGCAAGAGCAAATGATGGGCTGACCGGCCCTGCTCCTGCCCAGGGAGCGGTGGGTGTCTCTGCGCCCTCTCGTCTTTGATCTGCAGCAGGAACACAGTCAGTCCACAGGCTGGTTTTGAACAGCCAAGTTTTGGCTGCAGGAATTGAGACATGTAAATCTAGCCAGGCCGGGAGGGAGACAGGAGTAGGTTTTGATGCATCGAATGCAAATAAGCATCCAGGTTTCTTTTAGCAAGTTCATTGCAGAGAAAATATTCCCAGGTCATTGGTTTCAACCAGAAATTGCAGAACATATAATATTAATCTTTCACTGAGTGTTCAGAGTTAACTCTGAATCTGTTTATATCAATGCCGCCTTTGGCTATTCCCCACAATCCTGCCTGAAGTCTCCAGGGCGCTTTGGATGAAACTTCCCTCTGTTCCATTTCTCATTGTGCAATTAGACAAGCTGTTTATTCAAATAAACAGCTTGTGCTGTTGTGATCCATTTGTTGCCCGTCGGGAACCAACAAATGGGGGAGACAGTTGGGGTACAGCCAATCCCTCAGCCTCTGATGTGCAAATTGTATTTGGGATGATAAGCATGCCAGTTCATTCGAGGCACAGACCAGCAACACGAGGTGTGTTTGCCTGGACCGTGCACTGTTTGTAGCAGTGAGTTACAGAAAATTGCATGGGAAGAACAAATGTATTTGTGAAATGTCAGCTCTCCCGGTGCAATAGGAGGTGCAATCAGCAAGAGTCTGGAACTTTGAAGGAGGAGGAGGGTAATCTTTAGGTTTCTCCATCCTTCTCCACAGCTGTAAATTCACAGCGGTCCAAATGTGCACCTACCTCCACTGTCAGGTCTCGAAGGGTGTATGAAGCTCAAGAACAGGTAATTGGTAAAATAACTTCAGAAAAATGGGTAAAAATGAGTTCCTGGCCAGGGTGATGCTCCCTAAGGCTTCTCCCTCTCTCTGTTTTCTGTTTGATGAATCTCTCTGAAAGTTTTCGAGTGAGAGGCAAACCCTTAAAATGTCATTTCCTGGCAAATGGCTGCCCTGTAATCTGCATTAAAGCAGGGGGAGGGATGCGGCTGGCGATCAGCGAGTGGCTAGGGAAACCGGCAGCCAAGCTGTACAGGCGGGCAAGCAAAGGTGCCCAGTCTCCCCTGCGGAGATTGCAGTTCGGCTGTCGTGTTAAAAGCAGGTCAGGCCTGGGCAGGGAGACTGCAGCAGCAGCACTGGAAACAAAATCAGCTAGTTTCCCCAAGCGAAAAAAACACCCCCAAAATACTCCATTAAAAAACCAGCAGCTGTGCTGCTGTGTGAAACAAGCTCCGGTGTCGCCCACCATTTCCCAGGGCACTGGAATCGCGTGACGTCGGAGACCCCCAGGGCCCGTCCTGGGTGGTTACCTAAGGGAACAAGCTGGCAGTTAGCTGAGTCAGAGTCAATGGTCCAACAGGGACGAGTAGCCCCTGCGACATTGGGTAGTGCAGGGGCTTTTTTGTGGCTGAGGAATTGTGTAGGCACCTGCAGTATGAAATCGTTCTGTGCAAGGCTCTTCGCCAGCTGCACGTGAAGTAACTTGCAAGCGGGTTTTAGGGAGGTATGGCTTAAAAGTTATCTGTGTGACAAGCTAAATGCACCGAATCCCGGAGAGTTTCGTGCCAAAACACCTCTCAGGATCTTGGTGAACATGCCTGATGGGACAAGAGCCCAGCAAATAAATGCTCTGGAACAAGAATATGTTGCCGTAGGGAAGCAGCACTAAGCTGCTTTCAGATGTGATGAAATAAACAATATCATGGGGACAAAAATTAGCTACTTTTAACATAGGGTACCCCAGATTTGGAATTTTTGAGCCATGCTCAGCATCAGTGACCCATGGGTGAGGTCCCCCAGGGTTCCCCTGCTCTGCACCCTGCCCTGTCCCTGCTGAGGGCTTGCATCCCCGAGCACCTCACCTCCTGGCCACGGCTCTTGTAGGCAAACCAGGCACCATGGTTTGGAGGAGCTCCTGGAACCATTTCACCATGGAGCTGATAGCTTCCAGCAGCCCCCACAGCTTCTTCAGCCTGCAAAACCAAAATAAACAGGCAGATTTTAATGACAGTAAATGCAGCAAAAGGGGGAGGGTGTTAGTGGTGAATGCACACTGTAATACTCTCTTTCATAACCAAGCAATCCTACGGTGTTCCTGGGAGCCATGCCCGCTCTCCCTGAGAGCTTGCCTTCAGGGAATCCCAAATCCTCCTGCAGAGGAAGGGGATGCCGCTCAGCCTGTTTATGCAGTAGATGTGGATCAGCTTGCCCTGATCCATAGAAAAGGAGGGACTCGCTGCCATCCCACGCTGCCCCAGCACCTGCCCCATGTGTTTCCCATCTGAAGGATGCTACAGCCCATTGCACACCCCGACGCTGGGCTTGCAAGGACGCCTTGCAAGGTGCCTCCTGCTAATCTTGCACCGTGTCCTTTCAGCTCTTTCACCACTGCTGAGGGCACGGCCGCTGGTTTCTGCATCGCTCTCAGCTTCGATGCCTCCTGCAAGGTGTTCTTACCCCTTCCTGAGAAAAGCTGGCAGCCTGTATGGCAGCAAGAGGACCTTTGACAGCGGATCCTGCAGTGCAGTCACCTGCTCCTTCTTCCACAGAGCCAAGCCTGTGCCCGTGAATGACAACACAGAAGGAAATAAAGACCAGTAATTAGAAATAACCCAATAAATGCAACAATTCCTCTTGTCCAGCAACTCTTGCTGCAGCTCAGCCCACAGGTACTGAAGCCCAGGCCAGGATCCAGCTTGAGTCGCTCTTACAAAGCCTCTTTTGTGAACGGCTACTGCAGATACAGAAATATTTGCTATAATAAATACCTCAGTAATGTCTTAAATATAATCCCAGAATGGCAAGGGTTGGAAGGGACCTCGGGAGACCTCCTCTCAAACAGTGCAGCAGCCCTCAGTGGCCCCAGCCACCCCCAACTCCCAAGATCAGCACCCCAAATCCTCTACCTGGAAGGAAGCAAGGGGCCAGACACTGCGGTACCCTTTTGCACAGGCCAGCGAACATCCTGTTGGGCTGTGCAACGTCGTTCTTCCCACACATGGTGGCGAAGCGGAAATTGCCATCGAAGTAGTTAAAGCCAAAGGCGTCTGTGAGACGTGAAAAGAAAGGGCTGATGTTTGGCCGGTCGCATCAGCCTTGCAAAGCTGATGGGCAGTGGGTCATGTTTCTAGGCTGCCCTTTGGGTCTTGGGGTAGCACTTACTGTTCCTGTACAGGAAAAGGGCAGTGTCCTGGTACCCTTGGGAGAAAATATCATTCAAGACCTGCAAAGAGAAACACTTGAGGTCACTAACGAGCCCTCCATCCAGGCACCAGCAGGATCTATCCAAGGCTGTTTGGCCGTGGAGGGTTGGGATGGCCCATTTGGGAAGGCAGCAAGCACAGGCTGGTTTCCAACCACCAAAGCACCGGGTTCTTTGCAGGCTGTCAAACCAGGGTGGACCCCATCCCAGGCTGGCCACCCATCAGCAGTGTCGACCAAAAAAAGGCACTACCCTTGAAATCTCATTAATTAACGATGGAGATTGAGCTGAATCTTAAAGATTGGGAAGGCAACTCCAGCATTAATCTGTTTTAACCAAAACAAAGCTGGGAAGAAGCTTGGGCTTACCATGGCACTAGGCGGAAAGAGAGCATAGCTAATCCGGCAGAGGTTTTCTATTGAGATCTGAATGCTGCCGTTGAAGATCTGGAAACAAAAGAAGATAGCGGGACAATCCCGTGGACAGATATCGAGCTCTCCCGTGAATGGGGACACAGTGATCACGGGTTCCTCCAAGCTGGAGACGGGCTGCAGGCCGGTGAATCCTCCATCGACGTATCGCTGAGGGGGAAGAGCAGAGGGAGGGTTTGCTTTGAGGATTGCTCCAGCGTGCGTGTGAGGGCAGCGTCTCCGAGAGGAAAGCAAGCGGCTGCAAAGGCGACATCTCCTGCCGCAGGCCAGTCCCGGCATGTCCTCTCTTCCCACTTACAACAGCATCTCTTCCCCCTCCTTGCTCTTTATCCCGGCCTTTGCCAGCTCCTCCTGCTGCCCTGCCTACGGCACCCAGCCAGCTCCTCAGCCAGGTGCTGTAATCCACAGCAGTTATTAAAACAGAAATATAATTATTTTAATTCGCAAAGCTTTGTAAAGTTGTTTTGGCAGTCATTAGCCAATTCAAACACCACTGACTTGACAGCGTTGTATAAATTTCACATCCTGAGCTCAAGCGGTGGGGCTCCCGCGTTTAATAATTGCCTGCAAATCCCTGGAGGATTGCTCACTGGGCAAGGAAAATGTCATTTGCTGTATCCCAAAAGGAATCTGAATTTACCACCCACCTCAGTGGGATTTGAGGTTGCAAGGCCTGCAGCTGATCGAATTAAATGCTTGTGACATAAGAGCACAGAGGAGCCTCACGCAGCAATTTATGCACCTTGTGGGCAAGCCCTGCAGTCTGGGGTGAGCTGGAGATCCGACCTGGCAGCCAGGTGCAGGCATCCGAGGACTAAATAGGCCCAGTCAGCACAGACCAACAAGAGTCAAGCGGAGATCCTAGCTTGAAATCTGGTATCGTGGCTTTGTGGGCTTTGATACACAAGTGGGTCAGGATGCATCGGTTGCTCCGTGGTCCATCTGCACATGCTTCACCACCATGTGCTCTGCTCCTCCTTCACTGAGGGTTAGCAACAAGCCAGCCCTAATTTGTTGGCTTCACTGCGATGTTTCGTGGGGTATGAATATGCACAAGGTGGGGGGAGGATGCTCCCATGAACTTTTGATATTTCAGCCATACAGGTCTGCACCCAAACTAATGGAGATCCCTGCGCTGCAGACAGATCCTGCCCAGGATAACTGGATTGTGTATCAAAGCCCAAGTGTGGGTGTCTTCCCATCTCATTCTGGAGATCTGCAAGGCAAGATCTGGTCATCCAGGCTCTGTCCCTAGGGAAACCAGGAGGGGGGTCTCCAGATGGCAATTCTACCCAGCTACCATCTTAGGATGGGATGAATCACAGAATCACAGAATCGTTTGGGTTGGAAAAGCCCTTTAAGCTCCCCCAGCCCAACCGCCCCCCTCCCCCTGCCATCCCCGCCCCCCCAAACCCTGGCCCTCAGCACCACCTCTTCCCTGGGCAGCCCCTTCCAGTGCCTGACAGCCCCAAGGGGAAGGAATTGTTCCTAATGTCCAAAACAAGAACAAGCTAAGAGGCTTCATCACCCTCCATTAACAAAAGCAGCAGCCAAGCCACGTGTACTCCTCTCTTCTCAAGGGAATGTAAAGTTCAAACCCAAGAATACACTTCTGGGAGCATAGGCTTTATTGGAAATATCACTCACCACACCTCGGTAGGATGGAGGGATGAATCCACAGTAGATGGGAAGAAAGCAGCTGCAGAGAAGAGCCTAGGGGAGGAGAGGGAATGCAGAAGTAAATGTTCCTGTCAAAGTTCTCCTGGACCAAAGCTGTTGACTGGGTGCCTGCAAATTCAGGCATGACAAATCACCTGGAGCCAGGCTGTTGGTGCCACCTGCACTTTGCACTTGACTGTGTCAAGAAGAAAGGTTTCAAGAAAGGAAAACCATTTTATTTCAATAAAGTTGAAACACTTCTCTCGAGAAGGGCATAGCACTTCATTTTTTATTTTTGTAGCTGCCAGCAATATTAGAGTTGCATATCTATATATCATTGTCCAAACACTGCCCTTTGGTGGTGGCAAGGTGAAGCTTTGGGGTCATTATTCATATTTGCAGGTTTGGGGACAAAACCAAGATATCCCCACAATGCATTTTCATTCTGCTGGGATTTGTCAATGATAAAGCCACTGCCGTGCCATTTGCAACCATTTTCTACCAATCTCATCAGCTTGGAATGAGCATCCCGGGCTCCTGGGTTGACCTAGGGCAGGCACCATGGGGTGACCTCCAACATCTCCATGGACTTGCCATCTTCTGCTATCTCCCTGGGACAAGCGAGCCCATGACCTGTTAGGGTTTTACCCAGGGATCCTTTCCCCAGCAGCTAATTTACTGGTTAATTAGCTGCTTCTCATTTGGCAGCACAGACATTTTTTTCTAGCCCCTTCCTCCCAGGAAAGTGCTGAGGCAATGAGGAAAATTACTGCCAACAGGACTCAGCCGAGGAGAAACCTGTCTAGAAAGTGGAGAGGTTGTATTAGCATTAACACAGCTCTTTGCAAAGAGTCATTAGCACTTACTAGAGCTCATCAACATGTCAGCATCAGCTTTTTGAGGCTGGAACCAAACCTTCTGCTTTTTTAGCATGATTTATTCCTGCCTGACTCTGGACCTCCCTCCAAGCCTCATGGAGCTCAATGTGGTGGGGCCACAGCTCTGGCAGAGCTTCCTGACACTCTCCCCATCTTAACAAGTGCGGTTAAAGTCATCAACGCTTTGGTTCCTCCACCCCAAGCAGGATCTTCCTGCAGCATCGGAGGAAGGTCCCTTTACCTGGATGAGCTCCTCTTTCGAGCTGAACTCAGAGGCCATGACGTTTTGGCCATCCACCACCCGCGTGAGCGAGATGTGCAGCCGCCCTGAAGCCAGCTGGTAGGAGTCCTCTGGTAGCATCCGCTGCAAAACAGTCTTGATATTCGCCAGCAAGCTGCACTTGGGAGAGAGAGGGCCCAGGATGGTTTTCCTGACTTCCTTGGCCATGGCAAAGAAAAATTCCTTTAGGTCATCTGAGACAGAGAGGGGTGGGGAAAGAGGGAGAAATTCAATATCCCCGCTGCCCTAACGGTTATATTTTTAATCCTTTTTTTAACACTCCTCACAAATAAAGCCTCTTGCAGCCCCTGTGCATGACCACAGGACGATACTGCTGCTACACTGGGGGACGTTGTGGCAGGACAGAAAGGGGGAGATGACCCCCATGATGTCCTCAAAGGAAAACGTATTGCCGAGCATGACCCCGCCGGTGAAATCCCCGTCTGCACCGGAGGTGGGTGCTCAAGATGTGCCTGGCCGGGGATTAGGGAAAGTCTCCCAAGAGCCCCGGGAAGGGGAACACGGGTGCAGACACTGAGTTATCGGTGCCAATGTGACTTGCACAACACGTTCCTGCCTTCCACCTCTGATTTTGCACGTGGGCGGCCCCAGGCTTCACGGGGGAGCTAGGATGGCTCAAAGGTGAGGACGAGGGGCAGACCCCCACCTCCTCTGCTTGGGCTTTCCTGCAAGCCAGGCACCCTGGCTCCACCATTCTGGGACTCCCAGTTCATCCGAGCTCCCCCAGTGACCTCCCAGCCGGTGTTAACAGTCATTACAGGCGTCTGCACATTCCAGAAGCTGGATTAAAGGAGCAGAGCTGCAGAGGCCCGGCTGAGGGCTCAGGGGACACCGGGTTTCAAAGGCTGCGATGTGACAGGGGGGAAGAGGGGTGCAGCAAACCCCACGGTCAGCCTGACCCTGGGGAGGGCGCTTGGTCCCTCTGCTGAAATGGGGAGCTCGCTTGGGGGAATACCCCACTTTGGGCAGTTAATCTTCTGCAGCATAAAAGCTTATCCAAGGCCTCAATGCTGCAAAGAGCCATCCTTGCGCCTGGGTGGGCTCCCCCAGGACCCTGCACCGGCACGAAGCCGCGGGCTTGCCTTAGCACCATGGCTTGGTAGGGGCAAAGGTTTCTGGGCTGTCTCGTGAGATTACTTTAAAAGCACAGACAGACAGAGGGATCAGATGGAGTGTCCCGAAGGCAACTGGAGCAACACGGGTATTAAGAGGGGTTATAAATGTTTGAGCGGATGTTCAGGCCATGTGGTGTGATGATTAATGCTCGGTGGGTTCATGCAAGGTCCTCAGGGATGCCGAAAGAGCTGGAGACACCCCGGGCAGGTGATGCACCCACCAGGCACTCTCTGACTGCTCCATGTCCTGGAAATGGGGGAAAACCTGGAAAAACTGCCCATAAGATGCTGGGTAGGAGGTGAGAGCTGACCCCAGCTTTGGGGGCTCTGGCTCTGGATGGGGCTTTGCCTCGGGGCGAGGGAGGGATGACCCTGGCATGCAGTGTCGTGACCGTCCCCGCCTGCAGCAGCTTGCTGGTGACAAGCACATGCCCAGGAGGTGACCTGTGGGGTGGCAGAGGACAGCCTGGCATGGAGGGCTCAGAGCTCCATGCCCAGCCTGGGTCAGGGCAGGGGCCAGGTACACAACCACAGCCACCCCATGGGCCACCCCATCAGGAGCCAAGCACACCTTTAAACCTCTTTCTGCACCGATCCTCCGCAATGTGGAGTTGACAGAGTTTGTGCCACACTCATTTTCCTTATTAGAAACCCAACCAGCATCATCACTACCCAAAAGGTCTTTTCTTCCCCTGGGGAATCAGAGAGGAAAGTTTTGGGGCCCTTGCTGATTTGTAGAGGAGTTCATCCCCATATGGGCAGAAAGGTTCCTTTCTGCTTTGCCTAAATATATTTGCCAAAGTTTTGGATTCTTTTTAGCTCCAGCAGAGTGGTTCTGGCATCCACCAGAGGTTTCAGGAACTCTACGTTTCCCCCCCGCTTCCTCCATCATTATTTGGACCCGAAGACCCCCACTCCCTCTAAATGTCTTGAATTTTTAACACTCATTAATTAACAGCCATTGCTTGAAGCAGGGCTTGGATCAGCCTTCAAAGACTTAATTCTTGTGTATGCTTGTTTACACATGGGCACTAATTGGAAATATGGGAGGACGTGATTATTAAAAGTGGATTAACTGCTCTGAATTAATTCTACACACAGATGATCTTATTGCTGAGGGGGACTGTATCCACAGCGTCTAAAGGGGTTCAGAATAAAACCCCTTTTGCAGCAATAAGAGAAACCCTGTTGTCCCGGGCACGTCCCGCTGATGAGCCCTTGAGCTTTTGCCAAGGGGAAAGGTGCTCCACTATCTGGAAACAGGGAATCACGCCACATCTTCCCTTGTGCTGGGAAGGTTGAGGGGGATAACCCAAAGCAACATGGAAACGGGGCTGTCAGCTCTATAGGTATCTATGTGACCACCACTCGTGTCCCTTCCTAGCGAAGGATGTCAAGGGACCTGATCCATAGGGGACAAGGGGGCTTCACGTGGGCATATCCACCCACCGCGGCCACATCGACTTGCTTTGGGATACATCTCAGCAATCCTTAGACCTAGCAGCAGAAGAGGAGATCTGCTCCTCAGCAGGAGCAGGAAAATGGACGATAGATTTACACGTGGTATCTACCCGGCCATCTGAGATAGCATTCAGACAGCAATAACCTCCTCTTTCAGCCTACACCACCCAAAATTGCTCCAGGGTGGCTGCCAAAAGAGGCAACACCTGCAGATTTTTTTTATGCCCTGTGAGTGATACAAGTTACACCAGTATCACGTCCCCACTGGTGCTTTAGGGTGTTAGCTCCTCTACTTCTCTTTCGAAATTAAAAAATCTAAAGTAGGGAAATAATTGTCTTACCGAGGCCGATGCCACACACGACAGCGGCAGCGATGAGCGAGCCGGCAGACGACCCATAGACCTTGCACGCGGACTTGAGGAGTTCGGGAGCCAGCTCCAGGAGGGACTGCACCACCCCAACCTGGTACAGGGCGAGAAAGCCGCTGCCCGAAAAGGAGAGCGAGAAAGGGGTGCTCGAACCCCGGAGATCCTCCTCAGCCATCTCGAGATCAAATTGGTGTATCCGGCTCCGTGTCTCAGGTTGTCCTTTTTCCCCAGGTGAACCTCAAGCTCTCTCCTCTGCTTTCTCCAGGCTCATCTCTGGCTGCAGAGGAGTCCAAAAGATGGTTTTTCTACTGCCTTTTACGACAGCTCCCCGAGGTGTTTAGATTCACGAGCTATTTTAATTGCTGCCTGTGCTAAAAACAGAATTTTTCCCCTGATCAAAACAGCTCTTGTAATCCTCGACCACAGCCAGCTCAGATGCTCAGGGCTGAATCGAGGTTTCCCTTTTATACCAAGTGATGTGAAGTGCCCCAGGAGCCCTCCTGGGGATGGTCCCCACGTTACTGAACCCGTCACCCTTGGACACGACTATGCAAAATTTCCTCTTTGCTTCATGCTTTCTTCATCAAGGGTGTTTTCCTAAATAGGATTCTCCATCAATCCCGGCTTAGGCACAGCTCAGTACTGAGTGAGTAAAGGCTTGTGTAAGACACTTAAAACCAGAGGGTGTTACACAAGGGGTGGATGCGGGGCGTTACGTTGGGTTAGGTTTGGAAGTGCTGCTTACATTTACTCCCTGTTGGAAGAGATTTGTCCTTGCCTGACTCCTGGATATCCTTGGGGGGTGGGAAAACAGGGAGCTGGATTTGCTTTTCTCTTGCCTTCCCCCAGCACTGTGTTCGGTAAGGCCCCAGAAGGACGCCCGCAGCAGCACCCTGTTCCCCAAAGCTGGGGTTACTGGACCCAAATCAAGCTGCCCTCAGGCTGTCTTCATCAGCTGGGTGACAGTTAAAAAACAGGAAGAAATTCTGTGGATTTTTAGTGTCTTTTTCAGCCTTAATAGCCTAATGCTGCTGCCAACAGGCAGAATAAAAATTGCCATTTTAAACAGATGTATTTATTAAATATTACTAAATACTGTCTTGCTTATGTTGTCCAAATACCTCCAGCATGCACACTATAGAATGACTGTTACGCATGTTGGATTCAAGGCTGTGTGTGTATACGTAGCATGGGCTGAAGGACAGAGCTCTCCTTCCCTGTGTTGGTGCACCAGTCTGGCCAGGACAAGAAAACAGCGGATGGTCCCAGCATCCTGACACAACCTTTGCAATGCTGTTTCACCCCAAAATTTCATACATTTTTTTCTTGGCCTCTCCAGCCATCGCTGCATCCCCACGATGAGAGTTGTGTCCTGCACGATACCTGGGGGCAGAGACCCTCACCCCGATGAGCAAAACATCCCTGGGTTGAGGTTTTGCTGTAGCTGCCCATCAGCAAGTGAACGTTGCCTGCAAATCCCCTCAGATAAATGTCTCTTGGCATGGCCAAGGCTGTCCTCGACGGCTGCTGCCTGGATGACAGGACGAGGAGGAGCAAGTTGTCAGCTCAAAGTTATAATGAAATATAACCTAGATTATCCTGGAGGGGAACAACTGCTTGAGTTGGGGCATTTGCCTCTGACCGTGTCCTGCTGTAGATACACAGCCTTGCTGGATTTGGTCTTCTCATTTCTTGTCTTTCCAATATATGATCTTGGTTTTATGTTACCCCCTCGTTGGGTGAATCTCCCACACGTTCCAGCCTTTCTACCAGCCTTCGGGTGATATCTGAGTATGGATCTGCGTGATTCATGCACTGTCTCTTCCAGCCCTTGGGAAAGCAAATTCCTTCATTTAAAGGACTTTCTTCCAACACTGCCAAACATCTGCAGGTAGGAGGGCAGCAAAAAGTATCACCTCTCACTGTGACCGATCCGAACATGCAAGGGTGTTGGAAGTGCATGAGTGTTTGCACGCTGGAAGAAATTGGTTCCATGTTCTCTGTGCATTAACTGCCAATTATGTGCACCAGGCCCCCGGAGAATCCAGCAGGCACGGCATGGAAGAGGCATCGGATCCTGCTTCACTCAGCACTTGCACCTCCTCGGTCGAGCCCAGCCCCAGCTGCCAAGCTTCAGGAGAGGTGTAAATGATCCCAGGGGACCTGCGGGAACAGTCTCCTCTGTCAGGATGGTTTCCTCCTAGGAGCTGGACTTGCTACAAAATGTGGTGCTCCAGGAGCAAACCCCAACCGAGCTGAGCCGGGAGATGTTCTCCCCCAGACTCTCCTTTGGGCATCTTGTAATAGTTTCTCTCCTTGCAGCTGCCATGGAGTAATGTATTAAATGGGAAGGACGGTGCGGTGCCCATGAAAAAGCCATTATTCCTGCAAGAAGACGAGTAGCTCCGTGGGGAGGTGCACAGTGAATGCAAGAAGGTCCCTAACAAGGAGAAAGCCCAGCAGAGAGCACAGCCCCAGGAGAGGGGCAGGGGAGGCAAGGCAGGACGGACAAGAGGACGAGTGCAGGGAAGGACAGGAGACGTCTGACCTGGCAAGGAGAGGGCAGCACCCCGAAAGCCGGCGGCTCAGACCAGCGAGGACTTCATGGCGTGCTCAGGCACCCCAGGCTCCCCTTGGGATCCTCAAAGCCCAAGAGGAGACGGGCTTTGGGGTCACACCCTGGGGGTCTGCCAGCCTAGGGGGTGCACAGCCACACCACAGCATTTCATAGAATCATGGAATCACAGGATCATTTGGGTTGGAAAAGCCCTTTAAGCTCATCAAGCCCAAGTGTTACCCTAACCGTGCCATCCCATGACTAAACCATGGCCCAGGGGGGGTCTCAAGGCAGGGGGGGTGATGCAAGATCTGCCCTGCACCCTCACCCACTGCAAATGCCGAGGCCCCGGGATAGGATTCCAGGAGACAGCATCCTCCCTGGCCCGGGGCCACGCTCCCGTGAGATGAAACCTTGTCATCATCCTCTTAGTGACAGCGAATTTTGCATTAATTGGCTCATTAAGTGCTGGGCTGATTTTCTAAGCCGCCCTCCCCCACCTGGCACTCGACAAAGCAGGATTAGCGAGGATAACGACTTCAGAGATGCAAGATCCCAGAAGCAGCCTGAGTTGCTTTTGGGAGAAGGCCCCCCCCCGGCTCACACTGAGCATCGGGCGGGCAGGGGGCTGTGCAGGGCATGGGGCCGCTTTCTGCCCGGGCAGGATCAGTGCCCAGATGGCCGGTGTCGGTGATCCCAGGGATTTTCGGGCGAGGTGATTGCTTTAGCTGTTTGAAGCCACGGCAGGGCGTTTAGGGAAGGATGAAGGTAATACCGAGAGTTGGAAACCGCTCAAAACCCCGGGGCTAATAACCTGCCCTTCTTTAATACCGTCTTAATATCTTCAGTGGCCACAGGCAATCAGGGTCTCAATTTTTTAACACAGAGATTAAGCCAAGACGCTGGAGTCGCTCACGAGAAGGAACCTGGGCTCCGGGAGCCTCCAGCCCCAGGGTGCTGCACAAATGGCTGCTCCATCCTCATCCCAAGTGTGCCAGGCTGGAGCAGCATCCCTGCTTCGGGTTGGGTTATTTGGGACCGGGAGCCCGTTGTGCAAAGGGCTGGGGAAGTTTTGCTCCTTGTTTCCCCAGCACCACTGCAGTGAGGGGTGGGGAAAGGTCCAGC